TATCACCTCACACCAGTCAGAATGGCTGTCATTCAAAAATCCACAAATGACAAACGCTGGAGAGGCTGTGGAGAAAGGGGAACCCTCCTACACTGCTGGTGGGAATGCAGTTTGGTGCAGCCACTATGGAAAACAGTGTGGAGATTCCTCAAAAGACTAGGAATAGACTTACCATATGACCCAGGAATCCCACTCCTGGGCTTGTATCCAGAAGGAACCCTACTTCAGGATGACACCTGCACCCCAATGTTCATAGCAGCACTATTTACAATAGCCAAGACATGGAAACAGCCTAAATGTCCATCAACAGGTGACTGGATAAAGAAGAAGTGGTATATTTATACAATGGAATACTACTCTGCCATAAAAACCGACAACATAACACCATTTGCAGCAACATCGATGCTCCTGGAGAATGTCATTCTAAGTAAAGTAAGCCAGAAAGAGAAAGAAAAATACCATATGAGATCACTCATATGTGGAATCTAAAAAACAAACAAACAAAAACAAAGCGTAAATACAGGACAGAAATAGACTCATAGACAGAGAATACAGACTTGTGGTTGCCAGGGGGGCAGAGGGTGGGAAGGGATAGACTGGGATTTCAAAATTGTAGAATAGATAAACAAGATTATACTACATAGCACAGGGAAATATACACAAAATGTTATGGTAGCTTACAGAGAAAAAAATGTGACAATGAGTGTGTATAAGTCCATGTATGACTGAAAAATTGTGCTGAACACTGGAATTTGACACAACATTGTAAAATGATTATAAATCAATAAAAAATGTTAAAAAAAAAAGAAAATTATACCAAAAAAATTTTTTTTAAGATTTTTTGTTTGTTTTGAGAGGTAATTGGATCCATTTCTTTATTAGTAGTTAGTTTTTTTTTTTAAATGGAAGTATTGTGGGAATTGAACCCATGACCTCATGTATGCTAAGTACACACTCTACCACTGGGCTATACCCTCCTCACTACAGATGAAGTTAATTTCCCCTAGTCAGCCCAATGGTGAAGTGAGGCTTCACACCCAACTCTCTGACTCTACATCCATACTTCCTCCTCCAGACCAGAGCTCCCCTAAGGGGAGAGCAGGCAGTGGGAGGGCAGATGCAAGTCAGAATGATGATGTATCTGAATGGAGCTGGTACTGAGGGAAGGGATGGACAGCCTATCTGGACATGTGTGGGGAGGCACCACCTCCACCCCTTTTCCCCTGGCTGGCATCAAATTCCCTCATCAGGGAAATGCCTTTGGGAGTCACCGAAAACAATATGGGCTTTTGTGTCAGACCAACGTGGATTAGGAATATGCTATTTTTTACAAGGCATGTGACCTTGAACAAGTCACATGTAGTGTAGTGAAGTGACACTACAGCTCAGTATTCTTCTTTGGAAAACAACCTAAGACTGTTGGGATAACTAAATGGAACCCTGCAAGTAAAGCATTTAGCACAAAGCCTGGCACATTGAACAGGCTTTTGATGGGGTGTTAGCTGTTATTATCAGGCAGAAGTTGTGCATAGAGACTGGGCTAGCAGCAAGTTTTGGGGTGAAATACAGTGGAGAGATAACAAGAGAATTTAAGGGGGCAGTGAAGCAGAAGAAAGATTTTTTTCCCTTTTTTTTCAGCCAAGGGAAGACCAGAGCATGCTTGTAGGGAGGAGGAAGAGGCCTTGAGATAAGGGGTGCGGGGCAGACTGAAGAAATGGTGAGAGAGGAAATCATTATCAGACCCGGTCTTTGTGGTGATGGAAAGAGAAGTCTTGGTAAGGGAACCAGGCAACTCTTCTGCAGTGCAAGGGAAAAGGGAGCAAAAGGCGTCAGAGGACCTGTGTCTTGTGAAGGCTTCTGCAGGCGTTTCAGCACAGCTAAGGAGAAAGGAAGTCCAGGAGGAGGACTTCTGGAACCGCAGACTAAGGACTAAGGACTAAGACTAAGGCAGACTAAGGACTAAGTCCGCTCCTCCAGATGGGCAACAGGAACACTAGCAAAAATACTCAATGTCAGCTTTCTCAGAACTCTGCAGATTCACCAAAGGCTTGCAGCACTGTGAGGAGCCTTCATGCAAAAACAAACAAACGGCTGAATCTTGGTAAGAACAGTGAGCTTCGTGGCATGCCCAGTTCCTGCTCCTGTGTCCCAGCTATGTGGGAGCTTTAAAAACCAACATTGCCTTTCACCCCCAACTTGCTGCAGGTACAGCGTATACACCCAGCTTCCCTTTAATAATAATAGCTAACACTCCAACCAAAGCCTGCTGGTTTTCACCCTTTGGTGGACACGATGCCATGTGAGTCCCCTGTCTTAACACAGAGCCCTGGATGCTGAGGCTCGATTTCCTGGACCTGGGACCTCTGCCTAAAGGCACTCCCACCTCCAAAGGCATGGATAATATTTCTGGCAAAGAAACTAACAAATGTAGTAAAATTCCCAATTAAGAAGTGAGTCAGCACTATGCAATGAAAAGCAAGACTACTTTTCACCCTTCCCTATGGATCTCCAGTTTCTCCTCCTAGAAGTAACCTATGGACCCTTCCAGAAATGTCTATGAAAACACAAGCATCAGTTTGCATTATGTACATAGATTTTTTTTTCCTTCAATGCAAACAGTCTATGATAGACATGGCCCTCTCTGCTCTTGGCTCATCCCTTGTGCTAACATATCTTGGACAGGTTTCACCAGCAGAGTCCCCAGGTCAGGCACATTTGTTCCACTGGCTGCATGATGTTCTACTGTGTGGATGAACCAGTGAATTCTTTTCTTTTTTTCTTTCTTTGAAACATTTATTTTGGCAAATTTCAAACACATATAAAAGTAGAGAAAGCAGTACAGTGAATTGTCAAAGATCTGTTTCTCAACTTTACTAATAGCCTATCTCATTTCATTTTTACCCCACTGAGTCCCACCAAACACAGATTATTTCTGAAGCAAATATCAAAAACCATATCATTTTGCCAGTAAATAACTTATATCTCTAAAATATGTGGACTTTGAAAAAAAACTCACAAGATTTAACATCACATCTTAAAAATAGCACTAATTCCTTTATATTGAATATCTTGTCAATGCTCAAATTTTCCTGATGTTCTTATAAAAAAATTTTTAAAAAGGTGTCTCAGTCAGGATCCATGCACAATCCATGTATTGCTGTTGTTAGTGTCTCTTACATGCCTTTTCACTGAAGTTTCCTACAGGTTGTCCCCTCCTTTCCTTTTTGCTTACAATTGACGTGTTCAAAAAGTAGGTGGTTATTTGTCCCATAGAGTTTCCAAAAGCCTGCAATTTGCTGACTCCACCCCTGTGGTTTCATAAGTTCCTCAGTAGTATGACATGGGTCTAAGGCCCCTATATAGCATCAAAAGTGAGGGGGAAATTTTATAGAGAGGCAGATAGGTGCAAGGCTATTTAACACAGCATTACAGTAGTGAAAAAATGGAAACAGTCTAAACAATCTAAATGGAAACAACAAGGCCATGTCTAAACATCATTCTATGAACTATTTTATGGCCATTAAAAATCATGTTCTCAAATAACATTAAAAATATAGAAAGAAATAGTATAGAAAGATGCCTAAGTAACACGAGCAGATTAGAATGGTAAGCAGGGTACATATAGCACGATGCAGATTTTGGTTTAAAACCCGAAAACATCATTCATTTCTGAGTCATAAGATTATATATTGTTTAAATTCCTCACCACGAGCGATCATGCATTACTTTTATAAACAGATACTACAATAAACCCAAAAGATGCGGGAGCCCACATCATCTCTCATACTCTAAGTGCGTCCATTTGGTTCTCTGCGGTCACCAAAGTGAGTCATGGCACCCTCGGACAGCTAAAGAACCTAGAAAGGGGAGTGCGCACCGGGCTGGGTGTGGGGCCTGGGCGGGTTTATTTTGAGGTGATTCTGATGTGAACTCCTCACTGGGAACCACTGTCCTGGAGCAATGACTTTGGCCTTGGCAAGCGGGTGGGGACAATGTTTCTGCCAGGTGGCACACCGTGGGTAGGGGGCTGCAAGAGAGGACACTTGTGTGGTGCATGATGCACCCCCTGAAAGTCCTCCCACACAAAAGCAAATAAACAAGAAAAAAAAAAGAATAAAAATTTTTTAAAATTAAAAAAAAAGAAGAAAACAAAAAACCAAAACAAAACAAAAAAGAAAGTCCTCCCACCGAGAGCCAGGGTGAGGAAGGTACTTACTTCTCACCAGGAGGGTCCAGCTGCAGGACACCTGGCCTCGGACGTTGGCGGCTGTGCAGGTGTAGTTCCCGCTGTCCCTTGCCCGGGCTCTCTGCAGGCAGAGGTAGTGGGAACCCCCGTCTTCATAAATTTCAATGGTGCCTTCTCGTCTCCTCACGGGGGCACCATCCAGGAACCAGGTCACTTCGGGCTTGGGGATCCCTGAAACTACAAGGCCAGATGAAGGACATAAGGCCCCTGAGAGTGCTTGTAGGGTAGACGGCAGGGAGGGACTGAGCCCAAGGGACGAGCTCAGTCTGATGCACAGCTGCTCTCCCGCATGAACCGCTTTCTTACCCCTCTACCCTCTGCTCCACATCCCTAAGACACAGGCAGGGTCCTTGGGGAGGAAGGTCACAGGGGTGACAAGCCAGTTCTCCAGATCGGCAGCAGAAGGGAGGAAACAGAAGGAGACCCTGAGGCTTGTTTTGGTGGAGGTGGTGATGATGGGTTTGCCGTGTAGGGTAGTCAGAATTAGGGTTCAGGGTCGATGAGTCTCCAACCCTAAAAAGTGGACCACTGCTGGGTGCTTCTCCAGAACAAGGGGAATTATTAGACTGAGTCCTTCCTGATGGGAGACCCCTTCCCAGGGTGGGGGCCCTAGTCCGAGGGGATGGTGGATACGGGAGGTTCAGATCACTGTGCTGAAGGAAGGGAGTGACCACCCCGGGGCTACCATGTGGGTGCCAGTGACCTCAGGTAGCTCTCCTCACCCTCACACTTGAACTTGACTGTTTGATCTTCACTGACTTCCTGGCTTTGGGGCTTGCTCTCAAATCTGGGGGCTGTTGTGTCCCTCTGGCTCTCTGTGGAGATCCTCCTGGGGGCAGCCTTGCTCACGACATCTTGGCTTCCCAGGCCAGACTGCCTGGTGGTGAGGGCGGCTGGCGGGGGAGCTGCGGGCCTCTCCCTCTCTTCTCTGGATGGAGAAAGTGCGCCTGAGACTGGTGCTCTCGGTTCCAGCTGGACTTTGGCGGCCTGCAGGGTGATGGTGCTGGAAGTCTGCAGGACGGGGGGCCTTGGGGCCTTTCTGGGTGAGTCCCCAGATGGCTCCAGCTTGGATTCCTGCAGGGGTGGAGGCCGGCTACTTGTGGCCCAGACAGGGGTGCTGGAGTAGTTCTTACTTCCACCTGCAGCCTCCGGGCCGTCCGGTTTCGGCCCCTGAGTGATTCCGTTGGTCACTTCCTTACAGATGTCGGAATTGGCCACCTTTGTTCCTCTCACCAGCGACCTGTTTGGTGGTGGTGGTGGTGGAGGAGGGACAGTGGGAAGAAGGAGGAACAGAACGATCACCTGGTTACTCATCACAAGCGCAGACTCCAGGGATCACTAAAGCCCACAAATCAAAAGAGAATAAGAGCGAAAGTCTTTCTTTCTTTCATTTTGCTCAGTTTCCAGCCGGAAAACAAGCAGCCATCCTCGTTCTTCCCGGTCCCTTATCCTCAATCCAGTGTTCCACTTACACTGATTACATCTGCCCTTCTCGCCGCAAGGGCCACGCTGATTAAGACACACGACCAGTTTTCCCATCCACACTGGCCCTCTCTCACCCATGTTCCCCACAGCAAGCACAACCCATCTTTTAAAAACATAAATTGAATCATGCCATTTCAAGCTTAAGGATTTCCAACAGCTTCTCCACTCTACTAAGAATAAAACTGAGCTGCTCAAGATGGCCCACAGGGTCACCCTGTGGGAGCTGGCTCTTCTGCTGCATGGGCGTTGTAAGACCCCATCTCCATTGCCTGCCAGGCTGCAGCCACACGGGGTTCTTAAGGCCCCACAACCACCTCTCACCTCACCACTTGCACACATGCAACGCCTGTTTGGAACCCTTTCTCCCTTCTTCACCGAGTTCATACTACTCCTCATAGGCCTGAGCTCAAACACCAAGCTTGCAGAAAGGGGCTCTCTGTCCCTCTGCTCTAAATTAGCACTTCTCATAGAGGCATCAGAGTTTGTAGTTATGTTTTGTGAGGCTCCGTTTAAGGCCCTTCTCCACAGCAGACATCAGCTCACCACCACACCCAGCATCTTACACAGAACCTCACATTCAGGAAAGGAAGCTCCTGATGAAGATGTGCTGGGTGAGCAGGGGGATTCTGGCCTTGAACGCAGAGGGCATCCTTTGCTGAGCAGAGTGCTCTTCCTGATGACAGCTAACTAGCACAGATACTGAGCAGAAGCTGAGAAAGATGGCAGCATTGAGTCTGCTAGAGTCTCAATACCGATGGCAAGTCTGACACAGAAACTGGATGGCGTGTTATGACAGGAAAACAAAACAAAACACCCCAAATAAAGCAATTCCCCACCAACAGTCAGTTCCCCCTCCCTATAGGACAGCTCAGAAATTCAGGGCATTTCTCAGTTATAATCCCTCTTTCCTTGCGGAGCATTTTGATTTGGAAACATGATCATCACAAAGCTGACACATACCTGTTGGTACTGTCCAAACCTGGAAAAGGGGAGAAGGCAGAATGACCATTAGTGGGATGCTTTATACACCATGAGCAGAGAGGGGCAAGATAACAGCCTCTCACTTCTGACGGAGTTCTGGCCTCACAAGCTTTCACTTTCCCCATCACTGATGGTCTCCCCCCTTCTCTCCTTTCAGCTTCCCGCTCCTGAATTTCTTGGGTTAACTGATAAACTCCTCTGAACCCTGGAGACACGGCCAAGCTCCCAGCGCTGCCCTGCGCCCTTATGGTGTTCTCTGCTGCCCTACCCTGAGCATGGGATCTCCCTGCCTCTAGTCCATAGAAGGAAACAAAAACTACTCAAGGGACAAACAAAAATAAATATCGACTGAAAACTTCAAACCCAAACAGTGTACCTTGCATGTGGCCCTCAAAAGAACCCCTCATAGTGATCATTTTTGACAAATACCTGCTTTAAAAATGTACAGGATAAGTATAATTTTATTCATTTCTTTAAAGAAAAAACATACAATATGCCATGTATTTTTTTCCTGCTACATTATTTTTTTTAATTTTATCATGGAAAATTTCAAAATACACAATAGTACAGAGAACGATATAACAGACACTGAAAGCCAACACCCAGATTAGGAAAATACCAGCATTTTGCCAATCTTATCTATCCCTTTTTGTTTTGGTTTTTTGAGGGTTTTTCTGGGAGTATTTTTAAACGAATCCCAGGCAACACACCATTTTGTCATTAAGTGCCTCAGAAGGGAACAGTTCTTTAATTCAGTGCTGGGGCAAATAAAGGGAGAGTGACTAAGACACTTCTCTCGATGACTGACAGCAGGTCCTGAGCCCGCAGTGAGTTATGAAGTCAAACTCTTTGGTCAGGCCCAGGGTTTTCCCCTTAATGGTGTACAATCAAAGGGAAAGCACCAGCATGTGCTGCCCATAATACTACTCAGGATTGTTTCATGGGACTTATTTCAGTTAAATATGTCTTTATACATATGTATGTTGCAATGTAGAATAAATTTGTTTCTGTGGGTTGTGAAAACACGTGGGCTGAAAGTGGTAAAGAGAACAAGGAGGGATATTTTCTGAGAAAAGAAGGAGACAGGGAAGAGAAAAATCACAGAAGAAACGAGGGTAAGGAAGGAGGGGGAGACAGTGAGGGTGGCTTCCCTCCCTGATCCCCACGTCCCACCCTGCTCAAGGTTCCCGCTCCAATGAAGTGGCATCAATCTCCTTCTCCATCCACACCTTGGCATTTCCAGGCTGGACATGGTAGAACCAAGGAGTATGTAAGGAGGATAAATACTCAGAGAGATTTCAAGAAAGGAGTTGTCTGGGACTGATGACTACAACAAGGAGAAGACAGGGGTCAAAAGCGATGCTGAAATGTCCAGTCCAGGGGAGATGAAGACCTAAGCTGAGGGAGCACCTGTTTGAAGGCCAAGGTGGATGACAAATTTAGGCAGGTTAAGTTTGGGGTGATGGTAAGATAGTAGCAATGTCCACTCTTCCGAAAGTCAATTAGAGATATAAATAAAAAGGGGTCTGAGCAAGAAGGAAAGGCTGAAGACAGGTGTAAGGACACAGGTGAAGCACCTTTCTCCGTGGCCATGTCTGTGCTGCTCACCCACTTCCCTTCTGATTCAAGACCCTGCCCCTGAGGACACATGAGTATGTAAGCACGACGCGTGGAACACACAGATGCATATTGAACAAGAAGCTCCTCCAGGGAGGGGGGTCGCCGGGAATGGACTGCCCTGCACTAGCCCTCCCTCCACTTGATACCTTGGATGGAGAGCTCAGCCGACATGGAAGCTTTCCCCGACCCATTCACCACCAAACACGTGTACACGCCCATGTCATCTCGGCTGACCTCGTGGATTTCCAGAACTTGCATCCCATTCTTCTCAGACATAGACACACGGGCACTGGGCTGCAGGGGGATGTCTCCCTGTGGATGGCAGAGAAACTGCTCACCTTCTGGCTCAGTCCTCCTACCTCCTGCCAATCTAACTGGGAAAGACACCAGGCACGGACAGCAGGGCCCTCTGCTCTGGGCCCTGACAACACACTCAGAGAGCAGCCTTAGAGCAACTCAAGGGCCCTGACTCAGTGTACGTATGTGCTGTGGAGTTCAGTCCAGCTTAGAACAGGTGTATGGACCCTGTTTCAAAGAAGCCCTAGCTGGAGGGGGAAATCTTACCTTCCTCACTTTTGTTCTCCTTTGTTTCCCTCTTCTTTTATCTTGTCCCAGGGTCAGTACAGGAAAGTCAGGAAATAGGTAAAAAGCATCCCATCACTGATTCTTATCCAGGAGTTCTATCTATGGAAAACCTAATCTCCCTGGCCTTGACCTCAGGTGTTCCCTATGGCTCCTCACTGCCCAGTTGACATCCACCTGTCCCCCTCCCACTGCTGCCTCCTCCCCCTCCACCGCCTTCTCCCCACTCTGCCTTGACATGGCCCAGCCCTGAATGATTTATAAAGCACTCCTACATGCAGGATTTTGAGGTAGGTGGGATTATCTCTGCCTCCTAGATAAGAAAACCGAGGTTCTAAGAGATCAAATGACTTGCCCAGCATCAAATGCTTTGTGAATCAGGGAGCTGTGGCTTGAAACCAGTCCCAGGCTGCAAATTACCCTCTCTTAGGATGGCCAGATCTGTCTTGACTTGGAAATTTCATGCTTTGAGTGTGTGGATTACAGGACATCATAGACTAAGGAGCAGAAGGAGAGTGTGCAAACAGGGACAAGAACAGGCATGGCAATCAAACACACAGAGAACCTCAAGGACCATACACAGCTGAAACAGGAGCGACTGACTGGGCAGCCAAACTCCCACTAGCCCAGGGATCTAACCCTGAAGTTCTGGGTTCCCTAGGCCTGGGCCAGAGTCAGGTTAGACAAAACCTCACCTTGAGCCATGTGACCCGTGGCTGGGGCCTGCCAGTGATCTTGCAAGAGAACCGCCCCATCTGTCCTTCTTTGACCACCGCTCGGCCCAGCTTGGTAGCAAACTTTGGTGGGCACTCTCCCCAGATGCTCGGACGGGTCTCCACTGCAGAGGCTGCAAATCTGTCCCTGGAAAGAAATCAGCAGAGACTCCAAAGCAATTAAGATCCTTTTTTCTCTGTCCCCATCCAAATCACTTAAGTTGTGGTCAGAAACCAGCAAAGGGCAGCCTTCCCAATTCTGTGCCTCAAACACATTTCTAATGCACCCTTTGGAAAATCTGTGGCACCAAAACCTACATCCTCTGCCTCCTGGGCATGCAGCTAGATTTCATTTACCAGCATCCCCTGAAGTCAGGTCTACCTGATTTCTACTGAGCTCTGGCCAAAGCCTGGATTTCAAGCAACAGACTGTAAGCAGAAGTGCTGTATGCCACTTCTAGGCTGGACCCATTAAACCTCCCCTGTGTTTTCCACGCTTTCTCTTGCCCATACTTCTGGCTAGATGCAGAGTCCTGCAGAGGATCCCAGGCCTAGGAGGTGATGAAACCACAAAACAGAAGGAGCCTGGGTCCCTGGAAGAGAATGGGAAGGTTCTCCACCTATCCAAGAATATGTGAACTGACTTTGCTTGAGTAAGAAGTAAACTTTCCCTGTGTTAAGCCATTGTGATCTGGGGGCTTGTCTGTAACAGCAGCCACTGTTACTTATCCTTACCAATATAGGTTTACTTGCCATAAGAAATCTCACATACTGATTGCCTCTTTTAAGCCTGTTTATTTAAGTCTTCTGATTATTGCCTTGATTGTTAGCAATCCCCACAGACTATGGCCATGTAGCCCATTTCCTTGGCATTTAGCAGCTGGACCAGTCAAAGGGGCTATCCACGGAGGCCACCAGGTCAGGAGGTGCTGTGTGAATGACACGTCACACCCCAAGAGACTCCCACTTTAGTTATCATAACCCAGGATGCTTCAAAGGACTTACTCCCTAGGCTGTTCTGTCAAGGCAGCAAGAAAAGCCAGTCCAGCCCTCACCCTGGGCTGAACATCCTAGAACTTACCCCAAGGCTTTGGAAACAACAGGCTGCCCATGCTTCTTCACAAAGCCCCCTGCAAGTAGGAGACAAAGAAAAAGAGGCTTGAAAAGTCCCATCTGAGCCACCAATTTGGAGCAACAGAAGTCAGAAAGAGTCAACAAGGCGGGTGGGTGAGATAAGGACGGAATAGTTCACCCTGACGGAGCCCACATCGCATCAGGCTCTAAGGTGGGCACTTTACACACATCATCACATGGATTTCCTGCAATAATTTAAGGAGGCTGGTATTACACTATCCTTCTATTTTCTAAACAGGTGAGAGAAATGAGATTCAGAGGTGAGAAATGGTCCACTTGAGTCACAGAGTCAATAATGGTGCAGGGAAGCGTCCAGGTCTGCCTGTCCTAGAACATGCCACCATTCTGCCGAGCTGTTACGTACCCCTGGACCTTCCACTTTGGGGATGATCTGTGGTGATTAGGACCTCTGCAGAAAAGGACCCCACTGAAGAGAAGAGGGGCAGATGCACACGCATCTCTCTTAGCACGTCTGTTCACGTTTGAAACCCAGTCACCATTCTATCCTTCCACTTAAGGCCCAGCAAACAGCAGCACCTGTCCTGCTGGGTGTAGCAGATCACTGGAGATGAGCTACACTTGCTCATCCTGGTGTCCTGCTGGTGTGGAGTCTGCACCAGCAGGACACCGGGCACTGCTGGTCCTGGGTGAGGTGCTGCTGTGCTGAGCAGGAAGCAGTTAAACAGCAGAGCCAGCAAGGCAGCTGGGGTCGGCTTCCTTATCCAGCTGCTGCTGCTGGGGAGAAACAGCTCATAATGTGACCGGAAAGTGACTATAAAGCAGTGGGGTGTTTTTGAGGAGTAGGGAGAGGGAGAGGAGGACATTTCTGAGATGATCTGCCTGGAAGTTGTTCTCTTTTTGCCACAAGCTGGAAGTGTTTGTAAAACCCCACCCAAGGTATGCATGGAGAGGGTGGAAGTCATTCCCTGATATCAGCAGGCAACTGCAACGGGAGATTTTGCTGGGTGCTTCCTGGAATACGGGAAACTTCCTTACATTCCAGCACTGATCACATCTGTATGAATGCATAGGAGCACAGAGATGAAGGACGAAGATCATGGCTGAGGAATTCCCTCAGCCACATCTGGTTTAAGGTTTCACCAGAACCTCAGTGAAAAAGGAATAATATCAAATGCCAGCATCACACTTACGTTGTGGTTCCATATAGGCTGGCAATTGTTGTACGTGCATTTCTGCTCAACGTAACCATTTAGTGAGCTGTGTAGAGTTCTTTCCCCACAATATGGGTTCAGTTCTTGTTATCCAGCTCTCTGTTTGAGGTTAAAAGAACTTCTAAGCTGACAAAAGAAGAGAGCTGTTCTGGGAGGACCCAATGGACAACTGCAGTCAGGATGCTCAGTCCCCTCAGACACGACCGGGGGAGCGCAAACCCAACCATTCTTGTAGGAAATATCTGAGCCAATGGGAATCACAAGCTTTAGAGACACTCTGCTCTTAGGCCAGCTCCTTCCTTTCTGCACCGCCAGTCAGAGGAAATGATGTTAAAAGCAAGAAAGAAAACTTACAAAGCTACTCTTCTTGGTCTTGTCTGCAACAGTAAAAATTGGGAACAACGTAAATGTCACACAGTAGGGAGACAAAAAGTGGTTTAGTAAAATGCACAGTTGGATATCTTATTCTGCCACCAAATTGTGTTTGAGTATATGAAACACACACATATCTTAAATAGCATATCATTTGCTCCCCAGCACACTCTGGTTGGGTCGTGAACCTCTCCACTCCACTGAGCTCCATTCCGACCATCTTGTCTAACCTGGTCGTTAATCCTCTTCCTCAGCTCACTCAGTAGCACTTGACACAAGGGGCCACTCCCTTTTGAAGTACTTTCTCCTCCAGGCTCTCCTGCTCTTACCAGGTTGTCTGTTCTTCTCAGCCTCCTTCCCTCTTCGAACTGAACTTGATCTCTGAGAGTGCCCTAGGGCAAAGTCTTGGGTCCTCCCTCAGTGCTATGGACTCTCCCTCAGGAGGTCAGATAGTCCCATGGCTTTAAATATCATCCGTAAGCTGATAACTCCCAAACCATATCCCCACCAGAACATTCTATTTATCAGAGGTATGGAGACCAGTGCCTGGTGTATTGTAGGTATTCAAATATTTGTTAAATGAACAAGTTTTATGGAAAAAAGCGCAGCATGCAAAATTTTCTATTCAATGTGATCATAATCAGGTAAAAATAAAAATACTCAAACATAGTAAAATGACCAGAAGAAAATATATCAAAACATTCTTGCCTCTTATACATACTCTATTCCACAGAATTAGCCACACACCAATCACTAAGATTCCTGCGGGAAAAAATAGCTCTGTACAATTCACTGCACTTGTCATGCTACTATACCACTCATTTCATGTTGGAGTAAAGATGTGATAAAAATTAGACTGGTCAATGGATGAAATGGATAGACAAAATGAGGTCTACCTATACAATGAAATATTATTCAGCCACACAAAGGAATAAAGTAATGATACACGCTACAACATGGATGAACCTTGACAATTTTTGCTAAATGAAAAACGCCAGGCACACAAAAATCTATGATTCCATTTATATGAGATGTTCAGAAGAGGCAAATCCATAGAGACAGAAAACAGATGAGTGGTTGCCAGGGGCTGGGGCAGGGGGGAAGGGGAGTGACAGTTCAGTGGGTTTGGGGCTCTGTTTGGGGTGATGGAAAGTTATGGAACTAGACAGTGATGATGCGTGGACACCAATATGAATATACTTACTGCCACTGAATTGTATTCTTCAAAATGGTTAAAACGGCAAATTTTATGTTATGTGTATTTTACCACAACTAAAAAAAATCAGACTAAGCATCTATAAAACTCTTGGGAGCTGGACATCTTAATCCAAAGGCTAAAATTCCTTTACTCCTTAAAAAAAAAAAGCAAAAATATGATATTTCCTCAAAGGATAGCAAAAGAATGCTGCTTGGAGATACTTCTATATCAGAGTAAGAACAGTTCTTGGTAAGATCCAAAGGTAACATATAAAGCAGTCAGCTAAAAATGGAATTGAGAAATGCTTATTTTAATGCAAGTCAACACCAGAGACATATATCAAAGCAAAAAAGAATGTGGGCTAAAATAACTAGCAGGGTCTATTTATAGGCAAACATTTGAAGTTGCAAATTGTCAGATAAGGCAAAATTAATTTCGTGAAAGTATGAAAATCTGGCAGAACAGCTAGACTATGGAGAAAAATAAGGAGAAAGAGGATTAAGGTAGAAAAGCCAAAGATAGAAAAGTTAAGAGAATAGGTGAAGACAGGATCGAGTGAGTTAGGGGGAAAAAAGGCCAAGGCACTGAAGGTATTTAAGCAGGAATCTCAGACATTTTTCAAGGACGAGTAAAAGAGAATGCTGGCAGGTCTTCGGAGTGAAAAGTTCAACAGTGGAGACACCTCGCTCTTTTTGTCAAAGACTGAGTAGACACAGAGAATGCTGCCGAGGAGGGGAATAATGCGATCACGATGGCAAAAAGAAGAAGGGCTTCTTAAAGTGTGTGATGATCTAATTTATCATCCAAAAAGGCATGCTGACACTGAAAGGGAGAGGATTAATAATTCAGCCAGGACAACAGGAGTAAATCGGGACGGTTCCAGGAAAGCCAGAGAGCAGTCATTCCTATTTATAGGCAACTTCAAAGTAGATGTTAAGGGTTGCCTAAAATAGTGGTTCTTCACTCAACCAGAACAAATGTCCACTTTTTAAATGGGTATTTAGCAATTCCCTCTGTGCCATGCTGAATCAAATTCACTTCTAACTATCCATATATATATAATTTCAAAAAGAAAATCAATGTAAAGCCCTAACTAAAACACAAAGGAGAAATAAAAGGAAATTATAATAATATTTATCTCAGTATGTAGATGTTCATGCATGACTATTTTAATATGTAAATTTTCAGGCACACTAGATGATAAAATGAAATAGATGCTTACACTAACTCATAGGCATGTTTGGATTTAAAAGTGAATGATTACGAAACACTCTGTACAAGTAAGTCATGGAAAATGAAGGAGCACAGGTATATGGGTGGACACTAGAATAAAAAGCAGCATTAGCAATGTTATATGTCAATTATATCTCAATAAAGAGAGAGAAAAAGAAACAAGAAGGAAAAATTAATATAGTGAAAAGAAAAAGTAGTGTGAGGATAAATGTCAGAGCAGACATATTTCAAAAAAGAATGAAACAATCTTAAGAGATTGTAACATAGCAAGACAAGTTATAGACCACTGAACTAGAGGAAAGGAAAAAAAATGACTAAGTGTGGTAACAAAACAATTTTCTGCCTTGGGATGGGATCCTTGAGACCGCATCTGTGCTAAAACACTGATTCAGTCCCTATTATGCATAAGGCATCAGCTAGAGCTTCAGGAGGTAGAGCGATGTGTGTAATAAAAGCTAGAATAAACCTTGAGTCTTAAGAGAAAGGCAGATGGCTTCAAAGATGGGGGAGAGGACATCCCATAGCAAGGCCTGTTGAAGATCTTGAATTTCAATTTAAAGGTGGATCACTGAGGGTGGGAAGGGATAGACTGGGATTTCAAAATTGTAGAATAGATAAACAAGATTACACTGTATAGCACAGGGAAAAATACACAAAATGTTATGATAAATCACAGAGAAAAAAAAAGGTGGATCACTGGAATATTAGAAGGGAGGGAGTGATAAAATCCCATCTGAATTCATTAGAAGATATTTTTTAAGAGCAATGCGGAGACTAGAGTTGGGTATGGGTGGAATCAAGGAGACCCATTGGGAATTTGCACAAGAGGAAAATGATGATGGACCAGGATGGCAGTGGAGACAGATTATAACTGGCACAGCAGGATCTGGTGACTAACTGGGGAAGGGGAGGGGAGGGGACACTGGAGAATGACGAGGTTGCCAGGATGCCCTCCTTCCCAAGGAGATGTGGGTTGTCTCCTGTCAAGGTTTCAGATGTGTCTTCCCAGGGACCACTAAAG